TAACCTTTCTTTGATTTGTTGTGCTTCTGGGTCTCTATTAAGAAACATTTGGCTTCTGCCAAAGAACCCTAGAGTTTCTCCTATTCCTTCCTGTCATGTTTTCATGGACCCTGCTTTTCTTTAGAGGTCTTTGATCCATTTGGAGTTGATTCAGGTGTTGGGTGTTATATATGGTCCTATCTTTAGTTTTCTACAAGTTTTTAACCAAATTTACCAAAACCATTTACTGAAAAAGCTGTTTTTACTTTCCATTTAATTTCTTTTTTTGGGGGGGGTAGTCCGATTGTGGGCCTGAACTAAGGGCCTGGGTGCTGTCCCTCAGCTCTTCAGCTCAAGGATAGAGCTCTACCACTTGAACCACAACATCACATGTGGCTTTTTTTTCTGCTTATGTGGTGCTGAGGAATAGAAGCCAGGGCCGCATGCATGCAAGGCAAGCACTCTACCACTGAGCCACCTTCCCAGGCCCCAATCAATTTCTTTAGCACCCTTATCAAAGATTGGGTAGCTATAGGTCTGTGGGTTCATTTCTGGGTCTTCAGTCCTAAACAATTCATCCTCGGGTCTGTTCTTGTGCCAGTACCAAGCTATTTTGATTACTATGGCTTTTTATTAGAGTTTTGAAATTTTGAATTGATATTCCTCCAGTGCTGCTATTTCAACTAAGGATTGTTTTTGCTATTCGGTTTTTTTTTATTGTTCCATATGAATTTTTGGATTGCTTCCTCTATTTCATTGAAGAATAAAGTTGGGATATTAGTAGGTATCGCGATGAATATGTAGGTAGCCTTGGGCAGTATGGCCATTTTCACGATGTTAATCTTCCCAATCCAGGAGCATGGGAGGTATTTCCACTTTCTTATTTCTCCTTTCATTTCTTTCTTTTTAAGTTTTTAAAGTTGTTGTCATAGAGGTCCTTCATCCATTTGGTTAACTTAACTCCTAAGTATTTTATTTTTTTGTGAGGCTATTGCAAAAGGGGTTGCTTTCCTAATTTCAGCTGCCCTCTTCTCATTATTGGAATACAGGAAAGCTATTGATTTCTTAGGGTTAATTTTATACCTTTCTTTTTTGCCAACGTTTCCGATCAGCTCAAATAATTAGGAGTTGAATCTATAGGTTTCTGTATATACAAGATCATATCTTCTGCAAAGAGAAAGTGTTTTACTTCACTTTCCCCTATTCGGATCCCCTTTATGTCAGCATCTTCTCTTATTGCCCTAGCTAGGCATTCGAATACTAGTTTGAATAGAACTGAAGGGAGTGGACATCCTTGTCATGTTCCTGGAATTTAGAGGAAATGGTTTTATCTTTTCGCCATTAAGTATAAAGCTGGCTGTAGGTTTGTCATATACAGCCTTTATTGTATTGAGGAATGTTCCATGGATTCCTAGTTTATCCAGAGCCTTCATCATAAGTGTGGGATCTTGTGAAAGTTTTTCCACATCTATTGAGATAATCATGTGGTTCTTATTCTTGCTCTTGTTGATGAGATGAATTATATCGTTTTGTTTATGTTTAACCAGTTTTGTATCACTGAAATGAATGCTGTTTGATCTCAGTGTATGATTTTTTTGATGAGTTGTTGAAGTTGATTGGCCAAGATTTTATTGAGAAATTTTGCATCGAAATTCATCAAAGAAATGGGTCTATAGTTCTCTTTCTTTGATGAGTCCCTGGTTTTGGGAGGAGGATTATGCTGAATTCATAAAAAGAGTGTGGTAGGTATATTTTACTTTTAATTTCATTGAAGAGACGGAGCAGTATTGGTGTGAGTTCTGCCTTGAAGGCTTTGTAGAATCCAGATGTAAATCCATCTAGTCCTGGATTTTCTTTGGTGGGGGGGGGGGGGGTCTTTTTTTCTTTTTTTGCCTGTCATGGGACTTAAACTCTGGACCTGGGCACTGTCCCTGCACACTTCAGATCAAGGTGAGAACTGTACTGCTTTAGCCACAGCACCACTTCTGTTTTTTCTAGTGATTTATTGGAGACTCACGGACTTTTCTGCCCAAGCTGGCTTTGAACTGTGATCCTCAGATCTCAGCCTCCTGAGTAGCTAGGATTACAGGCATGAGCCACCGGCACCTGGGAAAAGTTGGAGGTCTTTTATTGCTGCTTCTATTTTGATGCTTGATATGGCTCTGTTAAGTTGGTTTAAATCATCTTGGTTTAGTTTGGGCATGTCAATATTTGATAGAAATTTGTCCATACCTTTAAGATTCTCAAACTTAATAACATAAAGTTTTGAGAAGTATCCTCTTAGTATATCCTGAATCTTGGTTATTTCTCTTTTTGTTTTTTTTGGGGGGAGTCTGGTCGTGGGGCCTGAACTCTGGGCCTGGGCACTGTCCCTCAGCTATTCAGCTCAAGTCTAGTTCTCTACCACTTGAGCCACAGTGCCACTTCCGGCATTTTTCTTTTTGCTTATGTGGTGCTGAGGAATCTAACCCAGGGCCTCAAGTTTGCAAGGCAAGCGCTCTACCACTGAGCCACCTTCTCAGCCCCTGAATCTTGGCTATTTCTACAGCGATGTTTCCATTCTAATCTCTGAGTTTGTTTATTTGCGTGTGTACTACTTTTTTCTGATTAGATTTGGTAGGGTCTGTCAATTCTATTAATTTTTTCCAAGAATCAGTTTTGTCAGTTTTGTCAGGTCTTTCTATAGTTTTTCTTTAAATGTAATTTATTTAATTTGGATTTAATTTTAATTATTTGTTCCCATCTACTGAATTTGGGTTTAGCTCGTTCTTTTTCTAGGAGCTTTAGGTGACTCATTAAATTTTTAGTTTCAGATCTCTCCAATTTGTTAATGGAGGAACTCAGAGCTATAAACTTGCCTCCGAGTACTGCCTTTCTCTGTCCCAGAGAAGCTGGTAATTTGTGTGTTCATTTTTGTTGAATGTCATGAACAGTTGTGTTTACTTTCTAGTCTCTTCCTTCCACTGATGATTCAACAGTGTGTTGTTCAGCCTTCATGTGTTACAGTATTTCCTTTGGTGGCTTTTGATGTTGAATTCTAATTTTATTCCTTGTGGTCTGACAGAATACGGGGCATAATTTCAATGTTTTTTAAATTTGGACAGATTTGCTAAATGGCCTAGAATGATGTCTATTTTGGAGAATGCCCCATGTGTTGCTGAGCAGAAGGTGTAATCTGATGCTGCTAGGTGACATATTCATTAAATGTCTGTTAAGTCTAGTTGATCTTTGCATATTTTAAGATCTGAGGTTTCTCTCTTGAGTTTATGCCATATTGATCTCTCTATTGAAAGGAATGGTGTGTTAAATTCCCCAACAATTAATGTCTTTGAATCTATGTGAGACTGGAGTGAAAGTAGTGTTTGTTAGATAAATTTTGGTGCTCTATTATTTGGTGAGTTGATATTTAGGATCATAATATCCTCCTGAAGAAGAGATCCCTTAATTAGTATGTAGTGACCTTCTTTATAAGTTCTCATTGATTTTAATTTGAAGTCTATTTATCTGATATTAGGATTGCAAATCCTGCCTGTTTATGGGGTCCATTTGATTGATATATTTTATTTCAGCCTGTCACTTTCAGAATGTTTATTTTTGTGGGCAAGGTGTGTCTCTTGAAGACAGCAGATAGAAGAATCTTACTTTCTGATCCAACTGGACAATATATGTCGCTTAATTGGAGAGTTAAGACCATTAATATTGAGGGTTAAGACACAGAGGTGTTTGTCTGTCCCTACCATTTTATCCAATTTTTGTGGGGGAAGCTGTGTCTGGGCTGTTCTTGTGATTACATATTTCTGTGTTTGTGGACCACTTCATTGACTATATTCTGTTCTAGTTGGTTTTCTATATATAGAACCTCTTTGAGGAATTTTTGAAGAGCTGGTTTGTAAGCGGTATATTGCATCAGATTTAACGTGCTGTGGAAGGTTTTTATTTGTCCTTCTGCTGTGAATGAGAGGTTAGCTGGGTAGATTATTCTTGGTTGGTAGTTATTTGACTTTAGGACATGGCATACCTCTTTCCAGGACATTCATGCTTTTATAGTGTCTTCTGTGAATTCTGAGGTAATTCTGATTGGGTTACCTTTATATGTGATTGATCTCTTCTCCCTGGCAGCTTTAAGAATTCTTTCTTTAGTGGCTATTGAGCGGTATGGATTGTAATGTAGAGGTGGGACGTCCTATTCTGGTCTATTTGGGTTTCTAAAAGCTTTTTTGCATGTGTATGGGCCTGTCCTTTTGTATATTTGGGAAGTTCTCTGCTAGAATTTTGCTGAATGCATTTCCTAATCCATTTGCTTCCCTCTCCAGCCCCTCTTGTATTCCTGTTATTCTCAAATTAAGCTTTCTGAACGTTTCCTGTATTTCCTGCATTGATCTGTCATGCTTAATTTTGTTATGAAAAATGGTGTGCTCTTTCTCTTTGGAGTCTAAACTGTATTCAGCTACCTATATTCTTTCTTCGGCTTCTTCCATTCTAGGTTGAAGACTTTGTACTTTGTTGTTTAACTCCTTTCCTTCTTGCTGGTCTTCTTAATGGTGCCCAGCCCTTTATTAAGGTTCTCTTTCAAGTCTTGAATAGATTGCCTTACCTCCTGGAGTTGGTTATCAGACTGTTCTTTCCACTCCATAATCTAGGTTCCTACCTTTTCATTAGATTCTTTCTCCCTCTGCTGGATTTCCTCTACTTTTTTATTTGTGGAGGCCAAGAAGTCCTCAGGGCCCACAAATATATGGGGAATTGGAGCAAGGACAATCAAAACTGGAACAGTCCCCGACATTACGGCACCCACAGAACCGCGGAGAGCAACTGCGGGCTCCGCAGGACTGGACCTCCGCGCCACCACCAGACACGTACTAACCCCCCCCAAATGGGCGTTCAGTTAGTGGATACAGATTTCCAGGGACCCTTAGAACCAGGAACAGTAGGGTTGCTTTTGGGCAGATCGTCTGTTATTCTACGGGGTCTTAAAACACCCTGGAGTAATAGACCCTGATTGTACTGGAACTATTAAAATCATGGTTGAGTCACCAAAAGGAATTTTTGCCATATCTCCTGGTGACCGCATTGCACAGCTGCTTATTTTACCTAGCCTCCATGAGCATTTTGAAGCGCAGCAACAGACTAGGGCAGAAAAGGGTTTCGGATCCACAGGAGTAGATCTGACATTTATATCTCTTGATTTGGACCAAAGACCAGTGCTAGAACTAAAAATAGACAATAAAAAGATATTAGGTCTTCTAGATAATGGAGCAGATAAAAGTATAATTGCAAAAAAGGATTGGCCGTTGGGATGGCCTATACAGACCTCTCCTCAAGCATTACAAGGCCTAGGATACGCAAAAACTCCTGAAATGAGTGCAAGACAACTCTCCCGGAAGGACGATGAAGGCCACTCAGGCACTATTCAGCCTTACGTGCTAGAGCTGCCAGTATCATTGTGGGGAAGAGATCTGTTAAAAGAGATGGGGTTTACTCTGAGCAATGAATATTCAGCTGTTTCCCAAGATATGATGACTCGCATGGGGTATCATCCTGGCTTTGGCCTAGGGAAATTTCTACAAGGCAATAAAGAGCCCATCCAAGTAAAACAAAAGTTAGACAAACAGGGACTGGGTTTTTCATAGCGGCCACTGGGGCGGGCATTCCCATAGTTTGGAAGACGGGGGATCCAGTATGGGTGCCTCAGTGGCCACTGCCCTCGGAAAGCGTGCTGCTGCTCAAACACTAGTACAAGAACAGGTAGAACTGGGGCACCTTAAACCTTCTGTTTCTCCTTGGAATACTCCTATTTTTGTAATAAAAAGGAAATCTGGAAAGTGGAGATTGCTACATGACTTGCGTGCAATTAATGGACAAATGCAAATTATGGGTCCAGTTCAGAGGGGCTTACCGCTTCTTTCTTCCCTACCTGAAAATTGGCCTGTTATAGTCATTGACATAAAGGATGGTTTCTTTTCTATTCCATTATTTGCTGGGGACACTGAATGTTTTGCATTTACCCTCCCTTCCTGTAATCATGAGGAACCGGACAAACGATACGAATGGGTAGTACTTCACCAGGGCATGGCAAACAGTCCAACCATGTGTCAGTTATTTGTGGCCGAGGCGCTTAAGCCGCTTAGACAAAAATATCCCAAGGTGCGCTGCATTCATTATATGGATGATATTTTGTTAGCCTTTAAATCAGAGCAATTACTACACAAAGCTTATGAGGAACTTACCAAGCTGTTAAATGCTAAAAGCTTGTTTATTGCCCCTGAGAAAGTACAACAACACTCTGTTGTTGAATATTTAGGGGCTACCATACATAAATCTCATATTGTACCCCAAAAGGTAGAATTGAGGAAGGATCATTTAAAAACCCTGAATGATTATCAAAAGTTATTGGGAGACATTAATTGGATCCGATGTTATTTAAAGCTGCCAAATTATGAACTTAAGCCCTTATATAACATGCTACAAGGAGACTCTCTTAGATTCTCCAAGACAGCTTAGGGATGAGGCACGTGATTCACTACGAAAGGTAGAGCATGAGTTACAAAGGGCATGTTTAAAAAGAGTTAAGGAAGGTGAGCCAATTACTTTGTGTATTCTCCCTACATGTGTTCAACCTTCAGGGCTTTTATGGCAAGATGGCCCATTGCTTTGGATTTACCCAAAAGTTTCTCCGGCAAAATCCATTGAGTATTACCCTGCTGCGGTAGCCAGTCTGGCGTTGTCGGGGGTTCAGCAGTGCGTCCAATATTTTGGCAATGCTCCATGCTTCATTATTGTTCCATATACTAATCATCAAGTACAAACATTATGTGCTACTGTAGATGATTGGGCAGTCTTACAATGTAGTTTTAAAGGACAGATAGATAACCATTTTTCAAAACATCCCCTGTTAAATTTTCTAAAAGAACATCCCGTAGTTTTTCCTAAAGTTACCTCCTTAAATCCCCTTGCTAGAGCTTGCAATATTTTTACCGATGGCTCTAAAACGGGATGCGACGTGTACATGGTGTAAGGCCATGACCCAGTCCGCCACCAGTTTCAAGCCGGTGCTCCACAATTAGTGGAACTACAAATTGTTGTAAAAGTGTTTCAAACCTGTATTTTTCCTTTTAATTTAATTTCAGACTCTGCTTATGTTATAAATGCTTTAAGAGTCTTGGAGGCTGCAGGGCCAATAAAACAGGCCTCTCCTTTTGGATATTTGTTTTGTCGCTTACAACGATTGCTTTGGCAACGACAACACCCTTTCTATCCCTTACATATTCACGCCCATACTGGTCTGCCTGGCCCTTTAAGTGAAGGCAATGATATTGTTGATTGCTATACCCGTCAAGATTGGATTTTTTTTAGTTCAAATTTGGATAGAGCAAAAACTTTTCATAATAACTTTCATGTTAACTCAAAAGCTTTACAAAAACAATTTCGACTTTCCCATGCAGATGCCCGACAAATAGTTTTAGATTGTCCTCATTGTGTAATTTATCACCACTTACCTAGTGTTGGTGTTAATCCTCGAGGCCTTTTGCCTCTTAAAGTATGGCAAATGGATGTTACTCATGTACCTGAATTTGGACGCCAGAAATTCGTACACGTTTCTGTAGACACATGCTCTGGCATTATATATGCCTCCCCTATGACTGGAGAAAAGTCACATCAGGTTATTATCCACTGCCTAGAGGCGTGGGCAGCTTGGGGCAAAACAAAACAGCTCAAAACTGATAATGGTCCTGCATATGCAGGAAATCAATTTTTCTCCTTTTGCAAAGCAATGGATGTTCAACTTCTTCATGGGTTGCCCTATAACCCTCAAGGTCAAGGCATCGTAGAACGTGCACATCGCACGCTAAAGTAGACTTTACAAAAACAAAAAGGGGGAATTGGCCATGGCCGTACCCCTAAGGAAAGGCTTTCTCTTGCTTTATTCACTATTAATTTTTTAAATTTGGATGCTCAAGGCCTGCCTGTGGCGGACAGGCATAACAAGTCTCAAGGTCTAACAAAAGGAATGGTAAAATGGAAAGATATTTTGACAGGGCTCTGGCGCGGGCCTGATCCCGTGCTAACATGGGCACGAGGTTCTGTTTGTGTTTTTCCACAGGACCAACAGGATCCGGTTTGGGTACCTGAACGACTCGTTAGGAGGGTCCAAGGAGAAGAAGCACAAGATGCAAGATGTGGTGATGATTCTTCTAATCGCCCTCACAACGATACAGCCTGTAAGACCAGTGCCGAGATGGGGGATCCTGTCCATGTTCCCGAGACCGATGCCCTTATCTTTTAGGCAATTGGACTGGAGAGTTTGACAGCTGTGGATCATTTGAAGGAGTGGGCGGGAATGGGCTCCCTTATTGGTATTCTGGCATTGGTGATCTTGCTGTGCCTGTGGTGCATATGCCGGATTAGGAGCTCGCAGCACAGGAGTATGGCTATGGTGGTCCAGGCCTTCACTGCCATTGAGGCCAGACAGTCTCCCTACGTGTGGCTTGCCGCATTAAAGGAATAGCACAGGGTGCGAGGCAAACGCACTGCACTTGGGAATCACTCCCTGGCGTGAGCCCAAGAAGAGCATGTTGGGTTGCAAGTGGGTTGATGCCCAAGATCCCACCTCTGCAAAAAAGGCATCGGATGGGCCTGGTCATCACTGGGGAAGGCGCCCCTCAGGCGAAGACCAGTGCAAGGTCCTCTCATTAATGTTTTAGACAGAGGCCCAACCTCTACTCTTACCTGTTGCTTAATAAAACGAAAAAGGGGAGCTGTGGAGAGCTGCAGGAACCGCGCCCAAAGACGGTGCAGCTGTAAGGCGCGGCTGCAAAATGGCGCGGCCGCATGGCGCGGCCGCATGGCGCGGCCGTGACCAAAGATGGTGCTGGCTCCCGCCTTCCGTCTTCCCGGTGATGAGTGCTCTCTGTAAAAAACAACTCCTTATATGGCTATGACTTGGCTCCTAGTTTGCTTCCGTGTTTGCAGCCCTATCGGTATATGCCACGTGATGCTTCGTGATTGGCCCATCTAGGAGGCTTATAACCGGAGCGCGGGGGGAGCAGGAAAGGAGAAGCGGGAAGAAGCCGGCAGAAGAAGCGGGAGAGAAGATGTTGTAAAAGGTCCTGAATAAACCGCCTGAAAGAAGAACCTGTTGTCGCATCATCCTTGCGGGTCGAGGCGGTCGCGACACTTTTGATTTCTGCTTTGGATCAATCTGTGGCTTTCACACCAAAACCTTCCAGTTTCTCATCTGCCTCTCTAGGTGTGAATAGGGCATAGCAAGCTACATGTAACTTCTATATCTGTTTATCAAGATTGACTCTGGAATCCAAGGTGGTACTAGGCAACTCAGAACATGGGTAGCATCTTAAATACTCCCCTCCCAATCACTGCTCATTGACAAACATGCAAATGTGCTGTGATCAGTCTCTACATTTCCATTACGACAGTACAAATAGTTTCCAAAAAAAAGTTAGTTTATTTACAAAATTCCAGACCAGTCTTGGGCTCTGCCCTAGATCTTCCTGTTCTGAAGGCACTGAGGATACCTAGATACAACTCAGACCTAATGACATGGGGGAATAGAAATGTTGTTGGTGAGTAAAGCTTAGTGTTCTGAAGTTGCGCTAAGTTGTTGTCATGTTATGGCTGCAATCTAATCAATGTCCTTTCCTGATCTTCACCACATCTCTTTATTTGATATGAGTAGCAGGTGGGATGATCTAATAAGCTCACCTAGAGTTTGGGCCTGGGTTTAAAAGCTCCATTTTGTGATCATAAAAATTCCACCACTTCCTGAAACTAGATTTAAGGGGCAGCAAGGAAGTTGGGTTAGCAATTCAAAAACTTATAAATACTGCATAGTTTAATATCTGAAATCTTCCCTTCTGACCCCTCAGAATATTATTTCCCATCTGTGTAGACATCAATACACTCTTTTCTCCTGGAGCGTTTGAGTGTGCCACATCATCTGCTTCTTATGTGTACTGCTTTACACAGGGAGATTTTTCTCCTAGGCTTAAAATGACGTCAGAGCTTGGGGGTACTGTGCAATAGGCTAAACATGCCTAGTCATTTGTTCACACCCATAAGTAGAACTGTCAAGGACTAAGGACTAGTCAGGGCTCACTTCCTGTCAGTGGTATTGCTCTGAGGAATTGCTGTCAATGTTGCCCACAGTGCTTAGTCTAAGGCCTCTCAGAAAGGCCCCAAATTCAACCTGCATGAGTCTCTGAGTTGATCATCATTGGGCAACTATGTTCCACAGTCTGTGAGTCACTCACTTCTGTGGATATATGCATATGAGGTCTCAAGAAGAGAGTTCCCTGGAAGGAAGGTCCTGAAATGCAAAACATCTAATAGGACAAGGGAAACCTGCGATTGGGTGTTCTTAATATGCAATGAAGTAACAAGAAAGAAAGAAACACTCTCAAACCCTAAAGCAAAGGGTCAGAAGGGCAGAGGGGATGGGAGTCCCATGATCAGGAATATAAATGGAGCTTACAAGCCCCTTCAGGCTCTGACTTTCTAGTTTGAAAGTAAGATAACAGGCAGACTGAGTTTCTAAGAACTCAGTGTCTAGGCTATATGACTCATTCAGAAATTCTTTTCCCTCCTCCTGTGTTATGAGAGCAACAGTTAGTGC